AATTAAGTATTTTCATCAGTTTTCTGGTACCCATATCATAAGCTCTGCTTAGCTTGGGACTTGATGGCGCTGTGTGATTTGTCCAGGGTTGTTATTATTGCTATTATAAAACAAAATGTCAATATATATATATGATAGACACTGTTTTAAAGTTTTACCACACTTGTATATTACACGTAATTACTAACGAAACAATCTATTATTTATTTTCTATCCATTATTTATGTACTTATGGAAACTTTATGGTCATGTACATAGGTATATAGATTAATTAGTTAATATATCGAGTTAATATAAAAGATACGATCACAGGTTGCATTTGTTGACCTATTGCAATTAATTACAAGAATAATAAGTAGATATAATGTCGCAATAAATGGCATACTTGAATTTCTATTCTACGTATATTGGTTGCAATCCCAGATCAAGGGGTCACCTATTGTGTAGGTATGAAGGCGTCAATTATTTAAATTACAATATATAATTAAACAATAAACCGTCTAGAATGTTAAAATACTGAAAATAATAGTAGTATTGTACCCTACATTTCAGTAAGGTGCTCTTTGGAGGTTTTATTCTAAAGGAAAAAACCTTCCCCTGTCCTCCCTCTCCTCAAAGAATTTTACGTAAAATTCAAAAATTCCATTTTTAAAATATCTTTATTCATGTAGGTCTATTACAGACTCTTATAATAAGATATACTCTTATGATATCAAATCTATCGTCAGTTCGGAACGATTTCGTGATGAGAAGAACTGACAAGAAACTCAGCTCGTATTCTTTTCAAATATTTGTTGTACATGTTTACAATATGTCTGGAGATAACTGCTTAGTTTTCTAAATGCATATACTGCATGTACATAAATTCATGCTATAAGTTTTACCACTGAGATATGTAATAAGGCTCGCTCAGTTATTGTCAATTGCCTAGAATCTTGCCAGGCACTGAAATTGGCTACAATTTGAATATAATTTCACTAAGTATTTTCTCACGTAACAGATTCATGTACCTATGTGAAGCTGTGGGAAACAGCTAGTGCATAGTAATTAAAATATAATTTTGTGGAAAATGTTGACCTTGTAAAAACCATAACGAAAGAAGAGGCCTGTACACAAATACTTAATAACCAACCCAACCAATATACAAATACCTACTCAAGAAACAAAATTAGATTGATAACGAATGAGAAATTTATGTATATAAAATAACTTCTCATACGAGAGCAATTTTACAAACCAAACGACATGATAATCATTATTAATCTACTGCTATCATCATTCTATCTGTAATCATCTAAATGTGCGTACTATTGTGTTGCGCAAAAATATAGAAGCAATTTTATTTTAATAATAAATAACGAGTACAGACAAAGGTAATATGAATTAAATAGTAAACAATCACACTGTCATATCTGTATTATAAAATTTTAAATGTTTCATGATTCAGATGATTTCAGGAGATTTACTGAACTTAGTTACTCATTAAATATGATTTTTGTTCAATTAAAGGATTCGATTATATCTTAACAAGGTTTTGCCGTTTAGAAATCGGTTATCGCTTTTAATATTCCCCATTATTCTGCCATTCCCCAATTATTCTTATCTATTGTAGTTTATTATAACTGTAAATTCATTGTACTTTTTTTTTAACAAAAGTTGATAAGATTTTTTTTCAGGCGGGTCAAATTGTAGTAGCAGTATCTATCTACGTATAGATTCTAAGTAGTGATAGCAAATTCTCACATTTACAATGAGAAAATAATTCCTTTGTAATTACATTTCGTGATGTATGCAGATAGGGACATTTCTCTTATAGCAAGAGCGAATCACGTGTACCGGTCTGAGCATCATTGCACTAGAAAGTTTCGCCTACTTTTATTATATACCTACCACCTACAGGTAGTTATAGAAATTCTTACTATTAGTTTAATAACTTACTTTAAAAGAAAAGGCCAAAGTGAATAAAAAAGAATTAATTAAAATGCGTACAGCAATGTTTTCTTTTTATGTACCTAAATAAAATCATTAAAGTAGTACGTATAGATGTAGTGTATTTAGTTTTAATACAATATCGATTAATCTCTCATCATATTAGTGATCACAAGTTCAATATATGCCCCTTCCAATGCCATTTTATCGAAGTATATAATTTATTTGAGATATATCGAAAGTCATAACTTGTGATTTAATTGATTTGGCAACAGATTGAATTTAAAATATTATTATATTATAATATTCTCCATAATTGGAATTTCAATATGTATATGTATTTTTGTAAACATGCTCATTTCAAAAGAATAAGAGCTGAGTTTCTTTTCAGTTCTTCTTAGCTCGAAAGCACTACACGGAACTGACGGTAGATTTGACATATCTTAAGAGTCTGTAATAGACCTACATGAGTAAAGATATTTTTATTTGATTTAATATATTTTGCTACAAGTAACAAAGACTAAACGCATTGTGAAGTTAAGAAACAGTGATTCAAACAAAAACTCTTGTACCTATGTATATCTAGCAGATATTATACTGACTCTAGCTAATAACTGTTATTAGATGTTATCATAGATTATAGAAATGGATATTTATCTAAATAATTATATTTATTATTAGAATTCGTTATTATGATTCACATAAGATTATAACAATATATTTCGTGGAATACTTACTATAACGCTTTTTGCTGTTCCTTTTCTATTTGGTACATTCTGTATGCTCACAGTATTTAGAATTGCAAGCAAATCTGCATCGCAATATGACTGTTGAGTCCTAACAGTAATCTTGATGGTAATTATCTAGGATTAACTTATAAAACCTCCAATAGGTGGTCATTCGTCTGTGACAAAGCATTGTAATGACATCTCATACATACTCTCTCATACACTGACAATTGTCAATAAAATAGTTAAACAACCATACATAATTTCGTAAAAGGAAACATAGCGTTAAATGTTTTTGTAATTATCTACAAGGAGCGATTTCTTGAACATACTTGTTACGACTGTACATCACTATCATTGAACTGACAAAATTGTGATGGATTTTTACTTTATACAAGTAACGGGCAAAACAAAAGTAAATAGCAAATAATAAACTCACTAAATATTTCTCAACATCAGGTAGTAGTAGGGTATGAAACAAATGTGGCCTTAACCGAATAGCCGGCAAGGATAGTCGTTATTTACGCCTGGCTTCTATAACTCGATTTCGTAGCTGCAGTATCTATGAAGTATTCGTGTGCATTTCTACGTAAAACTAACGATATGTCCGCAAGATATGTTAGAGTTATTAATAAAAAATCATCACATCATACAGAATTGAGCATACATTTTGTAGGCAGTATTTGGAGAAAATATCTAAAAAACTGTGTACCAGATGTTAGCTTGTATATTAAATTTTCTTATTAAAATCACGTGTTTTGTGCAATCTGTAATCATTCGTCTGCTATATTTAGACAATGGATGCGGAATATATTCACGGTATGTGACTACATATTTTTTGTATTACTTATTTCAATATAATAGTAGACAAACAAGTAGATAACGTCAGTCGTTTTAAGGGCTGATTATGTAACGCTATTGCAATGGTTTCTTATATTAAACAGATTAACTATGAATAAACCGTTTAATAGTTGCAGATGCAATCACAGTTCCGATGAACTGTGATTGCATCTGCAACTATTAACTATTAGATAGATACAATAATTGTCAAATGTTTATCCATCTGAATAGTTATAATACAATGTTACAAAAAGTTAAGTTTAGAATTTTGCTATTTTTAATTCAAAGTAAAATGTAGTTATTTATTTATTTAACTACTATTTATTCACACTTCGTTATTAATTGATTTCTATGCCTATAACCTGCCTTATCCTTTAACATGTAAAGAGTACCTAATATTAAATAAAATACCTACATAACTATTAAATAAAATGATACTTTTAATTAATACATGTTGTATCAGAAACAATATAGATGAAATTATATGTATTTTTAGTAGAGCTTTGTTTTTTTTATATTTATAAGTGATACTAAAACTGTGTGTTGACTATATTACAAACACCGTACAAAATATGGTTTTGCAGGTCCTTCTTATCTAAATAAACATAATATATGTACATATTCATTGGCCTCAATAAACTAAATATTATTTGGGCGTTTTGTTCTCCAGTCGACAAGGTTACTTGTCCAGTTTTCGCCTTTCACGGTATTATCGCAATGCATTCGTGCTATGCTTCTCGTGTTCCACTTGCGTGTGACAGGAGTTGTAATAAACCAGCAATGTGTCAAGTTACTGCTGTTACGATCGGATTATGTACCGTAAACGTACGAGTGTGTTGCATTGCGTGTTATGGTCAATTACGTCCGTGCTTCATCTACGGTTGTCGCAAGCGGCCAGCTCAGTGTAATGGTATGCTGAGGCATATTTTAAATTTCTATTCGATCCAGTATCTGCGAGCTCATTTATTATAGCTGTGTATATAGGGTTACCACCTTTCCTTAAAGAAAATAGAGTTTTTTAAGTTATAGATATATAATTTAAAAGTAAAGCAGTACTATATTTTTTATATAGAGAAAATATATTACATATTTATTTTTAATAATTTGTTTATAACTTAAGTTTTATTTTAATTTATATGCTTATTTATTACTAGATACGTATTATTAGTATATATATCAACGTAGTTAATTTCGTTCTGAAATTCTACAAGCCGCTTTTCAAGCGTATACGCTTATAGCACAGATAACAGAATATTATAGTGCCAAATTTAAAAAAACAATTACAAAAATTTGCAATGAATATATAGGTCTAGGTAGGTAGTCTCATACTAAATTATTCTCTCATATTATACAGTACAATTGTAATACACCTAATACTGTGCTAATACTTATTTATTATATCTATGTGTAATCGGATTATAGTACGAGTGGAAACCCTAACTGCCACTGTTACAGAAACTGCCTATTATAGTTTTTAATGTTACATTTTCTTCTTTGTTACAGATTTGCAGCTAGCAGCGGAACTCGGGAAAACTCTATTAGAAAGGAACAAGGAACTCGAAACAGCACTACGTCAGCATCAGAATGTCATCGAAGATCAAACGCAAGAAATCGAGGTAAAAAATTAACATATGTACCTAATTAGTATTGAAAATGTGAAGTGTATTTGTTACTTTTTAGTAATAATTCAGCCAATAGTTATATTTATTATAATAAAATCGGAAAAATTCTGACGAGGTAAAACTTAAATGTGGGTTCATATAGGCTAATATAAAATAATGTATTCTTAGAAAATAGCTACAATACACAGAGTAATTTGAATTGAACATGAATTACTTTGTGAATATACTCAGACTATAAACGCTGCCCGCGTGATGAGAATACTTCGTATATTTTTAAAAATGTACGAAGTATTTTTTCTTTATTCATTGCAAAAAATATAAAAAAGTGAAAAGTTTACTATTCATAATAATAGTATAGACAAGCATTGTATCGCTAGCTTCGCGTTTTGTTCGATGTTGTGATTAAAATTTGTTTACAAACTACATTCTATTCTATGTATCTCACTATATAAATAGTACGAATATACTATATAAATATCTGCTGCAGGTACTTATTTTACATTAATTTACTTTTCAGTACCTGACAAAGCAAACCGTCGCGTTACGCGAGGTGAACGACTCAAGACTGAGAATTTACGAACAACTTGAAGTGAGCATCCAAGACTTGGAGCGCGCCAACCACAGGCTAGCCGTCGACCATGCCGCCGACAAGAAACACATAAAATCGTAAGTTCGCCATTATATTGCTTCAATTCTCGAACTTGATCTACAACTAACATTTGTAGGAGTTAAGTAAGTTAAGTATTTATAACACTTGTCTAGTACCCATAACACAAACTCTGCTTGCTGATGGCATTGTTTGACAATTCACAGTGTCATCTATTCCCAACTATTAAAAAAATATCTTTGATAAATTATAAAATCTATCATTTCATGACGAGGCCAAAGCTGTCTGCTTGTTTGTTTATTAGTTTATGCATTTTTTTAATGGGCTGGCGCCCGCCTTTGTAAACCGTATCCGTTGACGGAGCACCAATGGAAGATGTTAGGATGAGCATGTATGTCGGATCAGTTAGCCCATTGTGGCGAATTCACCTGTAATTACCATGAAGGTTTCTAAGGGACCGTGTGGAGGTTGACGTAACATATACCCATAACATGGGTGACTTCTCTCCCAATTACTAACAATCCTCTCCTCCCTCAGTTTATGTGTTAAGGTTTCACGTAAAAACGACTGTAGGAAGTAGGATGAAATATTAATAGAATAAATTGTAGAATATGGGTCTATATATAGAAAGAGCACCCACCAAAGGAATGAATTAATCGATCGATTCGATCGTTGTCGATTCGGCACGCCACCTAGTTGTTCTGGTAATTAGATAATCATATAGGACCATAGATATTTTATTTATAGTTGTCGTTTGATTATAATTGTTCAATATATGGCGTCTCCATAAGCATTACTAGTTGTAACTTAATCAACAACAATTTTTTGTCTATCAATCGTTGTTTTATCTTTATTTACTTTTTCAAAACCCACTTTTTATTCTCTATTGATGTTTTTATTGCACATTAATCATTATCGTCTATAATAGATGTAATTATCTCTGGGTACCTGTAGATGATCTTAAATTATTGCGATTGAACAAGATCCGAAATCCGGTTTTGACATGCATTGACTACTTACTTGCCTCATGCTGAGGGTGATCTTAAGATAAATAAGTATTTGAATTTCCGACACATTTCTTACGAATTTGTCAATTTATAATTCGGCATGTGTTTATGCCGTTGTGTTTTATACGTTATATTAACGAATAACAGGTTCCCGCTATAACTAAACATTCTATTAAATAATATTATTTATTATTTACGGCAATTAATGCAATTTGTGTAGGTAATATGGCTTTAATTTTATCACTTGAGAGTTATGAAACTACTATTTTACACTATGCGGTTATAGATAAAAGATATTAATAAAATAGTATTGTAGTATGAAGACTATTCAATTATAATCAAGCTCAAGATTTACTGGTCAATGATACATACATAACGAAACCTTTTTTCACATTCCAGCTTATGCGCCAACATTGAAACTTTAGAAAGCAAATATGAAGATCTCCAAAAGGTTGTTGACGACAAGAACGCACAATTAGAAATAGCTAGAAGAAGAGCTGAACGGAAACCAGAAAGCTATGAGAAACCCAAAGAATCTGAACAAAAACAGGAACCGGTCACATCCAGCTCAAAGAAGCCTGAACTGTGCAGTACACCTCTGAAGACAATAGCACCTCTCCCAGAACTGACTAAAGAGGACGAGGATTTACTCAGATTAAGCGATGAACTCAGAGAAAGCAAAGTATCGTTTGCCCAAGAACAAAGAAGAGTAACCGAACTGGAAGAACAACTAGCGTCTATGGTCCAAGAAAATAATAGGTTGCAAGAGCAGTTGAGAAATTGGCATCAGAGAGATGATGAACCTAAGTCGATGCAAGAAGAGTTCTCCATACTCGAAGAAGTTAGGTGAGTCTCTATACTAATAGTAAAATAATGTCTACTAAATATAACTTATTTAGTTTTTTCTTACGGACATAGTTTTATTTTTCTATAAATAATTAAATATATATTATGCAGTGTCAACGTATGTTAGGTATAAATATCGACATGGTATGTAAATATAAATATCTGTATAAATCTGTATAAATATCTACCGGTGGATATTATTCTTTCTTAATATTTCATAAATTGATATAGAATAAACATATTATAACCAACACGCAAGAAGTTTCGGTTTTGACTAAAAGGAAAATTTAAGTAACCTCCTTACCTTCGGAGATCTCCTTAGGTCGGAGGCAAATAATAAGTCCATAATGTAAATAAAAATCGTACAACACAAAATATCATATATATATATATATATATATATATATATATATAGACATACATTGATATTATGCCATGTAATTAATAGAGTTATATGTTTCTTCAGACAAGGCCAACTATGCATCAAATGCCTTAGAGGCGTTGAGCGCGGAGATGACATGTCTTCGATGCTTGACGGTGACGACGATGACAGAAGTGCTATCAGTTCACTGATCCTCACTCCATCCGGCCAGGACAGCCCCAGGGACCTCGTTACCAACAAACTTGTCAAATTCGATGTAAGTTCCCGCTCCAAACGATCCTGCAGCATGCATTATTCTGTTTATAAAAAAACTATCGCTGTAAGCTTCATTTTCTTCTATGTACAAATAATTTTCGTTCTTCATGAGAATGTTTAGATATCCCAGTATTTTTATAATTATAAAAGCTAATAATGACATTAACACACCGTTCCGCATTTATGCAACATGGTTAACCTTACTAACACATGCAATACTAATACTTATTTGAATCGAAACCATAGATGAAACATTTAGTATTCTTAAAACATACGTAAGGATCTAACTTGTTTTCCGGAAATACGCAAGCAGCGAGATAACCATGCCGATTAAATGAAAAATGGCATAGGATTCGATACAAATCTCATGTGAATATTTCACTCGTTTTTAGGCGACAAAGCTTTTACAACTGCCCCTGATGTTGTTGATCACGCTTTGCATATGCATTATGAAGCGCATTTGCAGTAGTTTTCTTTGGATATATCGAATGTAGTCGAAGGTACGTCCATTACTGACACATTATTAGAATAAGTGCAACAGTGCACACTAACCTGGATCAATGGTGAAGGTCACATGCATTTATTTCGTGCTGAACATTTCATATGGGTATGGCCTTTGATAGCTGATTGGAAGCAATCGCTATCAATATGTTTAATATCAGTAAGTGTATTCTAACAAATATAAAAAAATCAAACTAATAACTTATTCGCAAAAATAAACAATCATACTAACATTTAATTAGGTAATTATAATGCCTGTAAATAAAATTTATATGTGTGGTTATCTATAACTAAAATGCAGTGACGGTAGGTATCTTGGCTATTAAAAATAATTTTCACATGTATTATGATCTGTGTAATTGTGGAGTAATGGGTGTATTTTTGACTAATAAATTCAGCCACTTCGTTACACATTGACTCAATAAATTTATAGTCGTTCAAATCATCGATCTTTTCGTTAACTGTCATTATCTTTTGTAACTGTTGCCTTCATATCATGTAATTTTTAATTGTATTTCAACAGGAGTCTAATAATCACAATAACAACCGACATTTCACTAGTCATGAATCACACAATTGCAAATATAGTACTACAGAGTGCAAATTAATAAAAATGTATTTATCTTAATATTTTGTGTTTACATAATTTGCAGAACGCCAAGGAAAAGTTACTTCAAGGCATTTGGGCCAATAAGGAAGACGGCCACGACAATCCATATAGAGAACTCGTTCAGAAGTACGAGGCTCTACTGGAAGTACAGTTGTCACAGGTCAAAAATATAAGGAAGAACAAGCAGAATACGTTACCCAATGTACAGACTCAATCTGGGTCACTGTCACTGCAAGACGAGCTGCAAACCTCTGGAGAATACAGTCATTTCAATGTCAAAGACACTGATGAAGAAAGTGGACATGGTGAAGATGCACAGAAAGACAATACACAACCGAAGAAAGTGGAGATGACGTCTCGCAAAAAAATTATACAAACACCCGACTTTTCAGAAGCAGAAACATCTAGTTCTGGTTTTTCGGATGAAACAAGCAATAAAGCAACGCAAACGGAACGCGAGCGTCCTGGCTCTTTCCTCTGCACAATCGCTGATGGAGAAGACTATAGATTCAGCATCTACGATGATGTAAGTCCAATGGACAGCCGCTTCCGTAACAGACCGGAGTATCGTGAACTTTTTAAAGAAATCTTCACGATTCTAAAGAAAGCTGCGGAGAACAAAGACGAGGGTGAGCAACTGCCGCTCCTTGATGACACAACAGCCGGAAAAGTACCGCCCGTCACACCTGCCACGGAAGAGCCACCTGGAAACTTTACTGACGACACCCAGAGTGTCTTGTCGTCTGTCATGTCTGAACAGTCGATTCCAGTGTCTGATATTACCGCTCCAGAAACACCAACGCTAAAGGAAGAAAAAGAGGAGAAGTCTATCATCGAAGTCGTCACAAAACCGGACATTGTATCTAATAATAAACAAGAAAAGATAGAAATCAAACCAGTTGTAGAGCAAAACACACCTGAAAACCCCAAGACAACAGAAGGTGAAAAAGAAAAAGAAAAGGATAAAGAACGTGTATTAACGCCGTTGGTGCGACAACCTCTGGAGTACATTGCGGCCACTAGAAAGAAGTCCAGACATCGCAATCGTAAACACAGCCAGGACCGACAAGGAGCGGACTCCCCCGTATTCCCATCTCCGCCTAAAATCACCTATCAAAAATCGTCCAGCAAAAAACGAAGAGATTACAGGCCTATAGAAGTAAGTCCCCTCGTGAAGACTACTGAAAGTGAATGGAACGGATCGACGATGCAATTCTATAATAGGAATATAAACTCGCCCACGCCTAGTGTGAGTGGCCGAACTGGTAAAATATATCAAGGCTGGAACCCCGAGACAGACTCTTGGGATATCAAACAGAGCACGGCCTCGCAGGAGATACACAAACTGAGAAAATTAGAACTTTCCTATGCGGAGGTTTTAAGAAACGCCGACAAAACTAAAACTAGGCGCAAGAAACATCAATAAATTATTTTTAGTATTCGACCCCCTCTTGCTTTTCAGTAAGAGCTGAGTGATCCAACCGCCATTTGTCTTTGCCAACTGGACATTAGTAATTAGTTTAGAAGTATTTGTGATCTGCTAGCGTTACTTTTTAATTTGTAACTATATTCACAATTATAAATTGCCATAATAATTGGTATAATTGATATATACCACATAATTTTTACGTATGTACACAATGAAATAGTCCGAAATTTCATTATTTTTATTATGGTTCGCCTCCCTCCGATATCAGTACATACTTACCTGTATAATAAACAAAATTAATGCATTTAAAATAAAAATAGTTCTCTTCCTTTCAGCACGATATTGCATTTGAAATTGTATTTGGCATTTTCAATGAGTTTAAATCATTGACTCAATTCTGTTTACTATTTTAGTCACTATTTTAATTGTATATTATGTATTTGAATTTTAATTTGTAAATATCAATTTTAAGTTAATTATATTTTTTTAATTGCCATGAATATTTACGAGTACTCAAGGTTTTGTATGGAATTGTATGCTATAACTATTTAATGCAGACAGAGGAAGGTTGAAGGTATAAATAAAAATTTGCATTAATATTACAATATGTATTTATTTTATCCTTTAACGATAATCATTTATAATAAAATTATATGTATAAATAGTATGCAATAATAAATAATGAAAACACTACAAGTATATTACAATATTGTTTAGGTTTACTTTTTACACAGATAATTATATTAGTTACATATCGGCCAGTAAACCGGAAAGCACTCCACATATGCTTGAGGTGCGACAATATATTTTTTATTCATAATATAAAAACGATATAGTATTCTCTCGACTTGTTTTGTATACAGGCATGGAGTACTTTCAATCGTTTACTGTAAGCTTTCAATATATATAGAATTTGCCTACTTGCTCTGCGCATCGAGCTCTCGTTCGACTATCTTACGATATTCGTCAAAGCCTCCCTCTATACTGGTAACAGAGCCGTTTCCACAGATCCATAACTCCTTACATACCATTCGTATTAACCGTTCGTCGTGAGATACCAGTATCACACCGCCCTGTAATAATATATATTTTTTTATAACGAATTATTAGGAAAAATATTAAGTACACTTAGCGAATGTAACATTAAGGGTCATACACACATAGCTGCGAACTAGTTCCGAGCTCTATTATATCAGGAAATTTATAAACACAAAAAATATTAAGGCTTTAGGAACAATATATACAACTTAGGGACTAGTGCCATATTTGGGATTATTTTTATTATAATTTTATTTGACGACCTCGGTGGTCCAGCGGTCTAGCACACCGCTTTACGGACCGATGGTCGCGGGTTCGATTCCTCGTACGGCACAAACATTTGTATTTATGAGTATGATTGTTTGTATCGGTCTGGTTGTTTTCTATGTATAATAGGTATGTATTTACAAAAAAAAATATCTATGTATATGTATCAGTTATCTAGTATTTATAACACACAAGCTTTAGCTAGCTTAACTTAACTTGGGTCTAGATGGCGCTGTGTTAATTGTCCTGAGATTATTATTATTATTATTTTAATAAAAAAAGAAAAAAAAAGCGGAGTTTCATATCCCTTGCACTGATGTAAAATGACATACGAGATAGAAAGTGGTGTCACTTATGGACATGGACGTTATCATATGGCCCTCATGTGTGCTAACCTGCTAGAGCACTTCGACCGCCAATCAATTAATTAGGTCACTCGATTTTTTATTTATTGACCGCTCCCCGGCCTTATCGCTCCACAGCTGGTAACTACCCCCTACCCTTTAATGTGACGTCACATATTTTGAAATTTTATGCAATATAATATGAGTATTTCGTTAATAGTTCAAATTTCATGTTCTAATACTTATGATTATAAAACGCAACGTCGTCATAAATGAAATTTAGATCCTCTCCCACTCCTCGGATTCTCCTCCTCGTCTATTTCCGGACTCCTACCCCTTCACTTAACATAAGACAACACAATTTATGGGCTGTGCTTACATTAAAGATTATCATTCAGATACAAACCGTATATTTAGTTATCGCCTTCCCCAAAGCTTCAATGGTCTCTATATCCAAGTGATTGGTGGGCTCGTCAAGTACTAAGAAGTTAGGATTGCCCATGCACATACTCGCAAAAGCGACTCTCGACTTCTGTCCTCCTGAGAGGCTGGCGATCGTTTGCAGAGCAAGATCACCACTTACGCCGAAACTACCCAATTGTCTCCTATATTCTTCTATTGATTTGCCTATAAATCATTATTACAATTAAATATATTAGTACTACAACAACATAATAATGTAATATGTAAAATTGAAAGTGTTCTCGTTTCCCCGCTGTTTACTATTCTGATTTACACCCAAAAGTCGTATGAGACACGTAGAAAATCTTTGTTGATTTTACATGTATATTTTTAACGACTCTCTGATTAAGGAAAAACCAATAATACACGAAAATTAAAACGGCGGTAAGCTCTTTTCTAGGACGTTGGATCAAATATACCCAGCGAAAGTGGGCATGTCACGTATTTAGTTATATATTCTTGTTCACTTAGATTCTAAGTTTGGATGCCTCTGACTAAGTCTGGAATAACAATCATAGCATTATGTTTATATATTTCTGTAATAGTTTACACACACTTGCGGTTTCCCTCCTGAGTAACTTGATGAATAGATATATAAAAATATATTCTAACTTACCTGGATAACTTCTCTGCAGTAGTTCTACTGAATTGACATTCATCTCAAGTTGATCTACGTGATGCTGTGAGAAGTAGCCGAACTTAAGCCCTCTGTGAACACTCCTAATTCCGTTCGTAGGTGAAAGAATGCCCATTATTATTTTTAATAGAGTTGTCTTTCCGGCACCATTGTCGCCCACCTATGGCAATAAGGTAAGACAAGTATGTAACAATTCATAGAAATATTATATATATAATAGGATTGTAAGATATTACTGTTGAATTAATGAATGTCTGCAAAAGTAGACACTGTAGAATCAGAAGAAACGTTAGGAAATCTATAAATTGTATAAAGCTAAAGTTGCTGTTTACGTTCCTTTATCTCTCCACTTAGTTCCTCTAAACCAAGGAACAGATTTTGATCCGGTTTACTAAACTTTCTAGATTCTTTTGGGAGGTTTATAAGAATAATACTTGCATATAATTACACCATCTCTTTCACACACACTATAAACCCAAGTCGGGTCGCCAGTTCAAAATACATAACACTGATTGGCTTTACATGTAATTATTTTTATATACTCACTATACATATCCTAGATTCAAGAGTGGCACCCAAGTTGACGTTAGAGAATATAACCCTGTCTTTAGAGTAATAGAAGCTAACTTCATTCAGTTGCAGTATTGGAGGCGAGAGAGGCTCAGTTTCAGGAAACCTGAGTACCACTTCTATTTCTTTCTCCACTGGCTTCAATTCTGGACTGCAAACAATAACAATTCCATTCATAACTTCTCCTGTTTTCATTGTATTAAACTTTTTGTGTTTTAACAACCATCTATAGTCGTGTTCTCTTAGCACAACCATGATTAATTACATCCAGAGTAGTTCTATATCTTAATAAAGTATATACGATTCTCATATATAATTACGTCATATCAAAATAATTGACATATGAATTATATATTACATTATTGAAAGATTCAGGGCCTAGCGATTTACTACCCTGAATAACGCCTACGACTAAGTGCGTGAGATAATCTGGCCGACACAAAAATAAACAATGAGATTGAGATCAATGTTTCCTTTACTAGAAGGAAACATTGATCTCAAACCAAAAATTTACCGATTAGGCTCGCCCCGTCACATTGGATTCAAATATACTGGGCTTGTTATGGGCATGTGAAGTGTTTTGTTCACCTTAACACCGACAGTTGACAATGTCCCAGAACTCCCCAGGTTAACGGATGTGACGGTATGTTATGTTGTTTGTTTAAAATAACTAATAACTGGAAAACTGAATGAAATGATGAAAAAAACTATTTCCATTACGAGAGATAGGATAAGATTAAAAATCTATAAAACATCGATACTTACAGTTTATCAAGCATTTTAATTTTGCTCTGTACTGAGGAAGCCCTATTTGCATTATAACGGAATCGGTCAATGAACTCCTGCGTGTGGGCGCGGTGCTGTTGCTGAGCTTCGTATTCGCGCTGTTGGTTTTTATGTTTTTCTGTTTTCGTTTTGTGGAACTGGTCATAATTACCCCTGTAAAAAATACAATCATCATTACAAACCATTCAATTTAAATTAAACTTTGATAAGCCATTCTAGATGTAACGACCAAAGGTCAAATAAAAAATAAATCATCTGATTGCAATAAAATGTGGTGACATAAATTATCATTTATCTGATTAATCAATCTATCGCACAACGTTGCAGGCAAACCCGATGCCTAATACATAATTACTTAATAGGTTCGCAAATAGAAAGCTCTCACAGTGATTAGAATTTAGATACAACGAATATTTATAACAAGCTACCCAACCCGGCTTCGCACAGGTATGTGTATTATACATATAAACATTCCTCTTGAATTACTCTATCTATTAAAAAAAAACTGCTTCTAAATCCGTTCGAAGTCCGACAGTAGTATACGTACTTAATTTACATATTATTTCAAGTTACATAACATACCTGTATGTGTCTATCCTTTGTGTATGTAAATGCAATATATCTGTAGGTACAGTGTCCAGAAAGTTCCGGTCGTGAGATACAACAAGCAGGGTCGTCGGCCAGTTTTGTAAGTAATTCTCTAACCAAATAATTGCTTTTATATCCAACATGTTCGTTGGCTCATCGAGTAGTAATAAGTCCGGTCTGAAAGTTAAAAATAATGCAATGTCGAAAATGACAGAATTTTCTTCATGAAAAACAAACAAACAGAAAACACATCACACATAGTACCTTTGATAGTACTACGCAAGCTGACTGTAGTGAAGTGGATGCAAGTTTTCATGAAGAGAACTCACGATCTTGGTCCAACAGGAAAACGAACTGTTTGTCTGTTGCCTTTTAAAATCCACATTAGTAAACAATTTTAGAATAAAAATATTTTAAAATGCTAGAATTTTATATATAAGATGATATATATACATCTTATCTATCATCTCATATATAAAATTCTAGTGTCACAATGTCAGTCACCATACTCTCTGAAACGGCATGACCGATTTTTATGAAATTTTATATACATATTCAGTAGGACTGAAAATCGCCTACAATCTATTTTTAATACCCTAAGTGATAAGAGTTGTCCACCACTAACATTTATTTTTAATTTTATGCACAATTTTATTATTATTTGGCATTATAATACACATATTAAAATACACACAACCCTAATTTTTCAGCCTTCTACCACAAAGTCCTATTTTTAATAGTGATAATAGTACTTAAATATATATGGCAAAACGTTTGCCAGGACAGCTACTAAATATCTATAAATATATATAAATGATTTAAATTCAAGAGATTGTGATCCGAATGTTAAATGTGTACTTACTTCGAAAACAAGGCTCTAGCAAGAGCGAGCCTCATCCGCCATCCACCCGAGAAAGTCTTTGTCGCGCGACTTTGCATATCAGGCGTAAAGCCCAGACCGCTAAGTATAATGGATGCGCGCGCGGGTGCCTTGTCTGCTTCTATGTTCTCTAATTGTGCATATAATTCGGTCAATTCCGCTGACAGATTTGTATCTGTTGATCTAAAGATAATAAATATATTAAAATTGTGTGTTATTGAATTCAAACTTTTTTTAATACCATTAAGTATTACACATCACCATCTAGTCACTAACTTAGCAGCGGTTGTGTTATAGCTACTTGTGGCATGGTGAGTATATGGTAATTGAAACAGCAATCATCATAAGGTGATCATACAGCTATATCAATTCAAATATTTTAAGTTTTTTTACCTTTGGAATGATACAAATTATAGTGATGGTATGAAATAATACAAAGAAACTCAATCATATTCCAGTAGTATAAAACTCACCCATTGTTAATAGCAGATGTAATCTCTTTTTCTCTCTTCAATAAATTTTCTCTAACTGTATCACATTCTAAAACACTCTGTAAGGCTATTGTATCATCACCAACCACCTCCTGTTCTACATGAAGTATGGATATATGTGAGGGTATCTTTAACTGTTTAGCCGATATCATTCTGAGGAGAGTAGTTTTGCCAAGTCCATTACGTCCAACTAGACCATAACGTCGACCAAATGCTAAAACAAGGTCTGCACCTTGTAATAGTACCCTGAAAATAGTAAAAATATCTATTGTAATGTATATATATAAAAAAAATTATATGGGGTTGGGTGGGGATACCCGTATCTGCTAATGATTGGTATTATTTATTATTAGTGCAACAACAGGCATGGAAATAATTAAAAAAATTTTGCTTGTAAGGAATAAAATTATTGCATTGCAAATGGAAGGGTGAGCTTGTATTCTAGTAGGCAAGTATTTCTAGTAGCTAGTATCTTATTTTTTGTAAACTGACCTATCTCCATAAGCAATGTCAAAGTTTTCTATCCTAATATCTTGTGTCCTGTTAGTGCCTTTTGCTTCCAATTTATTATCCTTCTTAGATGTGACCTGTGAGGCAGTGGCAGTCTGTAACACTGGTGCAGAAACTGGTACCCTTGACTCTTTCTGCTTTTGTTGTTTCTGTTGCAATTTAGCTTCTGCCTTCTCTAATTTTTTGGCATCCACTTTCTAAAAACAAAATAATTTGTAATATAGAACTATGTTAACTATTGAAAGATGTGTGTACACAAATTCAGAGATCAGAGCATTTACATGACAACGGATCAGAGGTGAGGTGCATTGACTAGAGGAATTCTATTATAATCTAGCATAATATTAACAATAGTAAAAATTTCTTTCCCAAACAAAACAAAATATGATTCTATAAAAAAATATATATGAAAGACATGTGCTGTCTGATTGAGAAATTAAGAATCTTTCACTAAGAAATATGTTATAAAGTAAATAAAGCAACAATTGTGTGTAAAGATGGCACTAATGAGGGAAGGATTTAATGCCTTGTCAGAATAAAACAATTATAACAAAATCTAGCTGTGTATGCAGTTTTTATAGCATATGTGTTATTCTGATGTAAAATATATATTACTGTAAAATTTCATCAAAATTCATTTAGTACTTTTTGCATGAACTAGTAACATGTATGATCTATCAATTTATCCATCCATACTAACGAACTTATGCATTTATAATATTAGCAAGACCTTAAACAATTCCATACCAAATTATCATCTCGGGTCTGTAACCATATGCTTTTAAGATCATCAGTATCATTTGCATTTGTAGTCATAGAAGCCAAATGGATAGGAGCATCCAGTACTTTTCGTGGACCATTGTTTGCTGTTTTGTCCGGTTGTAGCATATGCAGTAACTGTTCACATATATCTCTATAACAATCATAAAATTAAATAAGGAAATTCATTAAAGGTATATTGAAATAAATATATCATTATATTTAACACATACTAATTTATGTAATTGTTTTTCTGTAATAGAAACAATAAAGAAGCTTAATTTCATTTTATTATACTTATTAAAAATTATGTAAAATTCTACATAGAGGCATTTTAATAGATAAAATTTTGTAGAAAATTAGTCTGTATATGAGATCACTTTTTTACCGAAAACTCTTCAGGTATTAGATACATTTTCAATGTTTTTAAAGGATTTCAATACTTTGTTGGTAGATTTTTTCTTGTATTTTGTAACATGTTTTCACTTTCATAGCTTTAATACTAGCTATTAATGAGAAATATAAGAATAGTAAATCCCAAAAAAACAATAAGATTTCTAGTGAATTAGAACAAGACCATCAAAAATGGATTTTATAATACTACAATTTTTTTTTATAATTTTTCTACAGATGACATATATTTTGTAAGATATTTTACAAGTGTACTTCAATTTTTTTTATAAATTCCATTCAAAATTATTTCAGACCATTTTGCTCATTATGATGAAATCACTTGGTTTCCAGGGGAACCGAAGGGGGGTCAATCTGACTTGGTACATTAGTAGCAATGGGGTCCTAGACCATATTACTGACAATTCTCTTCCCACGACCCCAGTTACCTCCTACTAGTATTAGTTAAAAAATTTTAATAAAACTTTACCCCCACATGTGTATCATGTTGGGGTAAAATTTTATTTAATTTTTTTTTATTATTTATAATTAATTTATTATATTTAATAAAAAAAAGTAAATAAACTTATACCTTATGGCTTCCTCTGATTTCTCTGAAATGCCAGCCAGTACTTCCCCAACTGCTTCATAAACTTCTTCGGTGTCTTCAAATTCACCAGCACTGTTATCTAAAATATCTAAAAGAAACATATTACTTATTAAAGGTTATTGCAATATTGACCACGACATATTAAGATGTAAATAAGCCAAAAATGTGTGCAATATATCGGAATACTCAGACCACATAATATAACCTAAACAAATCTTACCCTCAACATATTTTTTGAGATCATCATCTATTAATGGAAATTGACTTTTAATAAAGTCACCACATTGAGCCATTATATGTTTACTAAAACTTGGTGAACACCAAGACAATTTAAATTATCCTGACAGCATTTAATATCAATAAAGAAAGACACGAAATGAAAGTATAATTTATCAACTGAGTTGCCAGTTTGTTGCCGGTATAGGCATTAGATATTTCTATGAATCTTTTAAAAGTAGCCCAAAGTAGTTTATAATTTTCAAATTATCCAACAAAGGTATATATATATATATATATATATATATATATATATATATATATATATATATATATATATATAATATCCCCTTGGGCACTTTGTGGCTCAGACGTGCCGTATAGGTAGTTTTTTGTTGATCCATTTTCACTTGTTGATCCGGAGGCCTTTTGTTGATCTAATGCCAGCTGACCATATATAAATGTTGATCCGTTTTGAGCCACAACTGTCACGACGAGTAATAATAATAATTAAGCGATTTATACACGATTTTATACAAATCCACCTTTTTGGCATACGACCACTTCTTGATCCAATTCAAACGGGCCAATCAGGGTGCAGCATTTGCCAAGGGCTTCCTCATTGGCACGTTTGGGCTACTACATTATGGCTACAGTAACTTAATAATGTCTAGCTAGTATTTCAAGAATAATAGTCTATCTAATCTAAATATTTATTGAAATCAGTCTGGAGTAACGTGACTCCAGATCAAAACTCAATACTTGTTATTTTTTGGACGGGAATTTTTCCTTTTGTAACAACGTTACTGAGCGAATGAAGAGAAGACGTAACGGCGGATCCAGGGGGGAGCGTCATGGAGGTCTTGGGAGTCATGGGGGGTCATGACTCTCCCCCCCCCTTAGCCCAGGACTTAGGTAGACCACTAATTGAACTAAAAAATAATGAAACAGCTAAATTTTTTGCACGATCGGAGTGTTGGTGCAGTGGTATTAATTATAATTAAACATTGTTACTTAAAATATAACACTTAAAGTACTATAACACTAAAAGCAAAATAAGTCTTTTCAAAATACTTTTTCAAAATAAATTACCCTTTGAGTTTTTGTCCAAACCTCAGATATTTTATTTATTTTAGGTATATCAATCATTACATAGTATAGTATAGTATAAAACAAAGTCGCTGTCGCATCTAACAAGTACATAAATAAAGAAAGAAGACTTTTTGGCTCTGAATATATTTCAAAAATCAATTACTTGTGTTAATCAATTTATATACTCGTTCTTATTTCATAGTACTTGTTTTGATCCGAATATATACAGATACCGTAACGGTCTATTAATTATGAATTTATTATACCTAACCTAGATATGTTATTTTGACGAAACTCCGTGTAGTAGTAGTATCCGATAAGGGGGGTATGCGAACCCTAAGTATTATTTCAAAATGGCCAGTAATTTCGAAGAAATAAGCCTTTGAATTTCAAATCAACTTACCAAACGGACGCTCAAGGTTCGATTCCCGCCATAGAATTTTTTTTATTATTTTTTTTTGTTTTGACTTTATTTTATATTTTAAATTAACTATTTTAATAATTAAATGAATTTAATCGAACAAAAAGTTGTCAAGTATTAAATTAATTTTAATTTACATTAACTATTATACTTTCTAAATTGTAAAGCAGCTAACAATTATAGTAAGATCTTATAAATAATTAACACAACAACATTTCAAATGTATTTTCTTTATTATTACAAAATATTTTTTGTGCATGCTATAATAGTTAATGTCACTTAAAATTTATTTAATATTTAACAACGTTTTTATCGATTAAATTCATTTAATTATTAAAATAGTTAATTTTAAATATTACTTTAAAAAAAAAACAAAAAAAAAGTCAATGGTGGGAATCGAACCCGGGGTGTCTGTGTGGTAAGTTGGTACACAGGTACACTCCTAACTAGTAAAATTAATTTAATACTTAACTACGTTTTTCTCGTATAAATTAATTTAATTATTAAAATATTAAATTAAAAAAAAAACAAAAAGAAGTAAATAACAATAGTCAATGGTGGGAATCGAACCCGGGATGTCTGTGTGGTAAGTTGGTACACAGGTACACTCCTAACTAGTAAAATTAATTTAATACTTAACTACGTTTTTCTCGTATAAATTAATTTAATTATTAAAATATTAAATTTAAAAATAACAAAAAGAAGTAAATAACAATAGTCAATGGTGGGAATCGAACCCGGGGTGTCTGTGTGGTAAGTTGGTACACAGGTACACTCCTAACTAGTAAAATTAATTTAATACTTAACTACGTTTTTCTCGTATAAATTAATTTAATTATTAAAATATTAAATTAAAAAAACAAAAAGAAGTAAATAACAAAAAAAAAACAATAGTAAATAACAATAGTCAATGGTGGGAATCAAACCCGGGGTGTGTAAGTTGGTACATAGGTACACTACCAACTAGGCCATTCTGCTTTTGTTCATTCTTGTGAAAAAACTAGTATACATATAAGTTACACGTACAATTTCAAAGGCTTATTTCTTCAAAACTACTGGCCATTCTGAAATAAAACTTTAGGGTTTGCATATGTAATGTTTGCATATAAAATATGATTAAAGGTTACCAGTGTATTTACACTTTTACTGAACAAACAGAGTTGTTTAGTACTGAAAATATTCTGTGGATATCAATCAATCAATCCATCCATCAATTACTTTCAGTGCACTTATAGCTTTGATCTTTTCCTAATTATTATTATTAAGTTTTAAAGTGGTTGAATTTTGTGTAGAGTGTTTTTATACGTTATTTCTAATTTACCATTTATTTTAAGTTTTTTAAACTCTATTCATCGAGACCAATCTAATGAGTCCAAACACGATATTTCTGCTGTAAGTTTTCGAAGAGTATGTTCATCATCTGATAATACTGGTGCCAGTATGAAGTCAAGGTTAACAGATAACTAATTACTCTTATTTCGTCAAAATCTTTAGATTACGTATAATAAATTCATAATATCGCTACCTATTCGAATCAAAACAAGTATTTTAGGTACTTCATGTACTAGTATATAAATTCATCAACACACAAGTAAATGATTTTTAAATATATTCAGAGCCAAAAAGTTTTTGCATTTAAAAAATTTTGCTGATACGGAGTCACTATTGCAGGAAATTGTTGAAAAAATATATATCGAGTACAGGTACTATCGACGAATACTTTATCTAGGGAACACGCGGGAACGCGGAACGGCAACATGTTGCCGTTCCGCCACGATACCGTTATAGTGGTAGAAAGAGAGAGACAGTGGAGTCAGCAAATGTATCTACGGGTCGTGGCTGGATCAACATAAGTGTGCAACTAAGTGCGCGTATATATATATATATATATATATATATATATATATACTATGTCTTTAATTCAAAGGAAATATAAATAATGAACGCATCACATTTAAAACAGTAATAAGTACGTAATATTATCACATTATCAAACAGTAAGTACGTAATATTATCACATGGTAACAGCACGTATTATGGCAAAAATAAACATCGGCTGATTTGAAAAGATTTATTATAGTAATAATAGTAATCTCAGGACAATTCACACAGCTTCATCTAGACCCAAGTTAAGCTAGCTGAACATTGTGTTATGGGTACCAGACAACTGATACAAATACAAAGATTTTTTTCGTAAATTAATATATATTATCTATACATAGAAAACACTCAGACCGTTACAAACAATCATACTCATGAATACAAATGTTTGCAGCGTGCGAGGAATCGAACCCTCGACCATCAAGCAGGAATCAAAGCGGTGTGCTAGCTAAATCGCTAGACTACCGACAACTAGCTGTACACGCGACTTCGTTCGCGTGGAATGTAACTTCTTATATTTTAGAAAAATAAAATTAAATTCCACACGGACGAAATCCCGTGTACAGCTAGTCATCAATAAAAAAAAACACGTAGGTATCTCTAATATATTATACACTAGCTATTCCGGCGACTTCGTCCACGTGGTTTTTAACTTTATTTTTCTAAAATAAAAGTAGCCTAAGTTACTCCTTATTACATCAGCTACCTGTCAAAAAAGGTCCCATCAAAATCGGTCCAGCCATTTCAGAGATTAGCCGGAACAAACAGACAGACAGACAGACAAAAATTGTATAAAAATAAATTTTAGTATATGTACCGTATTTATATTCATATGCTCGTAGTCAAAAACTATTATTTCAATATTATAAACAACAGGCTTCAACATCCTCAAGTACCACAAAAAAGATGTTTTTTCTATCGAATAAACCGTTTTTATTAAAAACAAGCTGTTCCCGCGACTTCGTCCGCGTGGAATTTAACTTTATTTTTCTAAAATAAAAGTAGCCTAAGTTACTCCTTATAAATCAGCTACCTGCCAAAAAAAGTACCGTCAAAATCGGTCCAGCCATTTCAGATATTAGCCGGAACAAACAGACCGACAGACAGACAGACAAAAATTATAAAAATTGTTAATTTGGTATATGTACCTTATATATATTCATATGCATGTAGTAAAAAACGGTTATTTCAATATTACAAACAGACACTCCAATTTTATTTATATGTATAGATTATTATTTATTTATTTATTTATTCATCCAAAATAATACAAATTGTGTAGGATAACGTAATAGTAACATTACAGTAAAATTTTGTCAACAACATAATAGTAACTTAAACATTAAATCTCGGTATATCTATAGACTAGCTGGCCCCAGCGACTTCGTCCGCGTGAAATTTTATTTTATTTTTCTAAAATAACAGTAGCGTAAGTTACTCCTTATTACATCAGCTACTTGCCAAAAAAAGTCCCGTCAAAATCGGTCCAGCTATTTCAGAGATTAGCCAGAACAAACAGACAGACAGACAGACAAAACTTGTAAAATATGTTATTTTGGTGTATGTACCGTATTTATATTCATATGCAAGTAGTAAAAAACGGTTATTTCAATATTACAAACAGACACTCCAATTTTATTTACATGTATAGATGTATAGATTTAAAAAAAGTAACAGTCATAAGGCTAGTCGTATGCCTAATATATATAATAATGTAATAAATTCATTTAAACAGAAATTGCGGCAACATTATTTAAATTTGTAACTTTTTTACTGTCCTTCTCC